CAACAGCTCCATGCGTCTCTGTCATGGCAGACTGTCAAGGAAAGGATTCTTGTAAACACTGTCTCTCAGCTACAGAGGGTCATTGCTACACATCAACCAGAAGTACTCTACAAACAGTTATGTCCTGTCTCCTACCACCACAGCCACAACACACGTCATGCTAGCCGAAACACATACTGTTTAACGAAACCCAAAACGAACGCCCTGAAGAAGACTTTCATTTATAGATCCTTAACAGTTTGGAACACTTTGCCACATGAGGTACAAGCAGCAACTAAGAGTAGGTTTAGGCAGGAGTTGTTAGAGCACATGCGTACATAGGCACATGATGATAGGCACATGTGATGTTACTTTTAAATGTTAAGTCTAATGTTGTATGTAAATAATGTTGTAATTTTGATGTGGTGTATTTGTATTATTGTATTTTAACTCCAGGAAGATTAGCTACATACTTGATTTTGTATGTCTTGTGTGTCGCTAATGGAGTTTAATAAAGCACATAAAGCACATAAAGCACATGTTGTCCACGGACCTTCCACAGCGCGCTGCCAAGGGTACGAAGGCCCACAACGACACTTCCACACACCTCTTCCACAGACCTTCCACAGCGCGCTGCCAAGACAACTTTTCTCAATTTTTCACGGATGAAGAAAGCTAAAAGTGACACTACAACATGCCAAAACATTTTGTCTGCAAATTCTGAGGTAAACTTGAGGAAAATATACAGTTTACGGAAGAAACACTGACAGGAAAAATGTAAGAAAATCTCAACATACGAAATGCCTGCCTACACCTATCGTGCATCACAAATCGTGAAAGTTTCGGGGTAAATGTCCACGAAATGTCTTGAAATTAACTGAGGACACATGGCAACTCCTTCTACAAGATTATACAAGGTAAAACTTGGATAAAATGCAGTATTTCACCGTAAAAATTGGAAAATTCTTACCTCAAATATGACAGGATGTTCTATACACAGTCTCCTATGGCAGTGCAATGGCGCCAAAATTTTGAGTGAAGAATTCTCTGATGAGACCTTGAACGTGATTGGTGCTCAATGTCAGGGACGGTCCACTTAAATGTCCGGGTGGAAGGCGATGCAAAAATATTTATTTTTTTCTTGTTTTTGGATGAACAATTGACATACAGTACAAACTATGTACTCTCTAACATTACAAAGACTGTATAGTTCAAAAGAAACTCTTTTTGAAGTTTTTTTTTATCCAAAGAAAAAAGACGTTTTAGAGGTACCTCCCTGGTCGATGGTTCGATGAGACGGGACGCTCCATTTGTAGATAACAGGTAGGGTATACGTCAGGTAGGGGATAATCCAGTTAACATGTCGGGGGATGGGACGCTAAGAACTATTTTCACGTTTGTTTGTTTGTTTGTTTGTTTGTTTTCAGTAGTTTTACACCATATAGCGACGTAAGAGGTCAGGAAATAAAATCACCAAATTTTCCCGAAAAGGGAATAAAAGTATGAAATCAACAAATTAAGCTTTATCCTGACATAACTGGAGGGACATGGCTACAGCCGCTATGCATCTACTCTGATGCCCGCGGCTTGAATGATTGATTGATTGACACTAAAAGAAGAAAGAAGAAGAAGTCAAAGAAGAAGTCGAACCCCTTAATAGCTAGAGTAGTAGTAGAAGTAGAGGTTTTTCCAGACGGATTGTTACCTGTCTCCTGTTTCAGTAATCTTGACTGTACAAGCAATTAGCCTTCGGGCATGATTTTGCAAATAAACATTATTAACTTCTAAAGTCGGGTGTTTAGCAGTGACATTTTATCGTCACGTTTGAAGGTCAGTGTGCACAGTCACGTTTGAAGGTCAGGTCCAAAGTTTCACCACGGTCTGGTTTGTGATTGGCTGTTGGTGAGAAGACGTCACGTGAACCCAGGGTCATTGTGCTAAGATAAAATTTTTGGATCAAAGGTCCCTTTGGTTATTAAAACGTCTCCATTTTACATACACTCTTGCTCAGTAGAATATATTCTATAGAAGCAGGTCGTTGGCTCTTGCATTTTTTTCCTCAAAAGTCATTGCTGAATCCATTCTACAGCTTTGATTGTTCCATCTTATTTTGCGACTACAGGAAAACGTCACTGTCACAGGTAGGAGTTTTGTCTACTTATATTTTGATATATAGGCTATTAAAATGAAAAATGTAAAGAACGAGCACCGAAAACATGGAATCTCTCCATGTTTGATTCCATGCCAAAAATATCTACTCTACCCACCAAGCTTGGACTTTAACCTCAAACCATAGTTTTGATATCACCATTTTAGGATCAATTTCAAGCTAAGTCAATGTCTTTGCGCTGCATTTCTGAAATGTAGAACCGAGTGGACACATTGTCACCGTGCTCTTACTTAAGTATCCCCCAAATATGATCTTTTTCCTTGACAAACTGTTAGTATGGAGGCACAAGGCAAGGTGATCGCAATTCCGAAGTCCATAGAAGACATCGCCCCCTACTGGGTGCAGAAGGTACTGCAGCGCGACCTCCCCGGCGTCACCATCTCTGACGTCGACGTGAAAGGTTCCATCTGTGACGGCGAGGGCTTCATGAGCGAAATCGTCGCATTCGACGCCCGGGGGACCAGGAACGGCAAAAGTCAGCGCTACAACCTCGTCGCCAAGATGACGAAGTTCACGCGACCGTTGGCGACATCCAACGCCCTTGAAGACGACATCCAAGGTCATCTCAACTTGGAGAGGGCCGAAGTCGGCCTGTACTCTGTTGTCGTCCCAGAACTTTTATCTGCGACCACAGAAAGCTCCAAGAAAAAGGCGCAAGACAAAGATGAAGGAGGCCACCATCCTACTGATTTGTTCTTTGTCGCAA